GAAGAGCGGGAGGAGAGGAAAGGGAAGAGAGAAGGAGGGGGAGGAAAGGCAAAAAGGCGGATAAAAAAAGAGGAAGGGGGAGGAGGGAGAGAAGAGGGAGGAAGGAAGGAATGGATAAAAAGGAGGAAGGGAAAGAAGGAGGGGGGGGGAGGGGGGAGGAAGGGAGAGGAGAGAAAGAGGACGGAAGCGAGAGGAGGAAGAGGAGTCGGAAGGAAGAGTAGGCGAGGAAGAGAAAAGGAAATGGAGAGGACGACGATGAAGAAAGAGAGGAGAAGAAGGGAGGGAAGAAAAGGAAATGGAGAGGACGACGATGAAGAAGGAGAGGAGGAGAAGGAAGGGAAGAAAAGGAAGTGGAGAGGACGATGATGATGAGGAAGAGGAGAAGAAGGGAGGGAAGAAAAGGAAGTGGAGAGGACGACGATAATGAGGGAGAGGAGGAGAAGGCAGGGAAGAGGAGATGGAGAGGACGATGATGATGAGGGAGAGGAGAAGGCAGAGAAGAAGAGGAGGTGGAGAGGATGGTGATGAGGAGGAAGAGAAGGAGAAGGAAGAGAAGAGGAGAAGGAGAATGGTAGAGACGGAATGAAAAGGGAAGAGGAAGAGGAATGAAAAGGGAAGAGGAAGAGGAAAGGGGAAGGGGAAGGGAGGAGAGGATGATGAGGAGGAGGGAGAGAAGGAGAAGGAAGAGGAGAAAAGGAGGTGAAGAGATGAGGGAAAATAAGAAGTACAAGATATGAGAAGAGGAGGAAGGGAGGAACGGCGAAAGAGGGGGGGGGAAGGGGAGAAGGGGGAAAAGCAGCGATAGTGGGAGAAAGGGAGAGCAGAGAGATAAAGATAAAGGGAGTGTAGGGAAGTGGGGGGGGAAGAGTAGGGAGGGAAGGGGAAGAAGGGAGTGATGGAAGGAGGAAGGAAAATAGGAAAGAAGAGGGAGGGAAAGAAATAGCAAGAGAGAGAGAGAGAGAGAGAGAGAGAGAGAGAGAGAGAGAGAGAGAGAGAGAGAGAGAGAGAGAGAGAGAGAGAGAGAGAGAGAGAGAGAGAGAGAAAATGAGAAAAAGAAAAAAGAAAAAAAGACAGAGAAAAAGAGAAAAAGAGAAAAAAGAGAAAAAAGAGAATGGGAGAAAGAGGAGAAAGAGAGAAAGAGAGAGAGAGAGATAAAAGAGAGGTAGCGTCCTGGACAACGAAGCACAGACGTAAATGGAGAAAGATAATTGAAGACAAAAATGTATCTATCGGGGGAGAGAGCAATAATGTGGAATAAGAGATACTGATTATGGAGTTTAGCTCAGAATGTTCAGGTCGACGCGATCATTTGGCGTCTCTCTCTCTCTCTTTCTCTCTCTCTCTCTCTCTCTCTCTCTCTCTCTCTCTCTCTCTCTCTCTCTCTCTCTCTCTCTCTCTCTCTCTCTCTTGCTCTCTTGCTCTCTCTCTCTCTCTCTCTCTCTCTCTCTCTCTCTCTCTTGCTCTCTTTCTCTCTCTCCCTCTCTTGCTCGCTCTCTCTCTCTCTCTCTCTCTCTCTCTCTCTCTCTCTCTCTCTCTCTCTCTCTCTCTCTCTCTCTTGCTCTCTCTCTCTCTCTCTTGCTCTCTCTCTCTCTCTCTCTTGCTCTTGCTCTTGCTCTCTCTCTCTCTCTCTCTCTCTCTCTCTCTCTCTCTCTCTCTCTCTCTCTCTCTCTCTCGCTATCTCTCTCTCTCTGCCTCTCTCTATCTCTCTCTTTCTCTCTCTTTCTCTGTCTCTCTCTTTCTCTGTCTCTCTCTTTCTCTGCCTCTCTCTCTCTCTCTCTCTGTCTCTGCCTCTCTCTCTTTCTCTCTCTTTCTCTGTCTCTCTCTTTCTCTGATTGTCTGTCTGTCTGTCTCTCTCTCTCTCTCCCTCTCTTTCTCTCTTTCGTTCCTCCCTTCCCTCTTTCGACCTCTCTCCCCATTCCTCCCTCTCCATTCTTTTCATTTTTCTTTCCTTCTCTATCCTTTCTTCCCTCTCCTCGTTCTCCTCCCTTCCCTCTTTCCCCTCTCGCTCCCCCCCCCCATGACCTTCTCAAGACGGGAGGTAACAATACGTCCTTAATATATAACAATCAAGAGGGTGATTATTGTGGGCTACGAGGTTGGGGGGATGGGGGGAAGGGAGAGGAAGGGGGAGGGGGAGGGGAAGGGAAAGGGAGGGGGAGAGGGGAGGGGGGAAGGGGAGGGGAAGAGGAGGAGAGGAGGGAAAGGGAGAGGGAGGGAGAGGGGAGGGAAAAGGAAAGGGAGGGGGAGGGGGTGCGATCGAATGATGGGATGGGAGGGGGGGAGAGGGGGTGGGGGAGATGTAGGGCATTGCAGGCAGGTCAGTCGTCATACCGGCAGATGTTGCATGACCTGAAGGCATCAAGGGAACAATATGGCCTTTGTGCGTGAGCTTGCAAGAAAACCGCGCATGCCGGTCCAAGGTACTGGATGTTGCAAAGGAGGGGGGAGGGAAGGAGGGGGAGGGAAGGAGGGGGAGGGGACGGGGAAGGAGGGGAAGGGCGTGAAGAGAAGTGTGGAGAAGGGAGGGGAGGAGGAGGGGGAAGGGGAGGGGAGAAGAAAGGGAGGAAAGGGGAAGGGAAGTGGGGAGGGGAAGGAAGGAGCATTGTGAAAGTGGTGGGGAAGGGGGGGAGGGGAGGTTGGATGAAGGAAGGGGAGGGAGAGAAGAGGGAGGAACAGGGGGGGATAATAACAATAATAATAATCATTATCATTATCATTATTATCATTATTATTATCAATATTAATATTATTATTATTATCATCATTATTATTACTATAATTAGAAAACCGTCACCATCTACTCTATCAAAAATATCTTTGTTACTATCTTTTCATCATTTCTCATCATTATCGTTTTTAAACCATCATTATTATTGTCACTGATATGTGATCATCTTTATTATCATCATCATGATCATTGTCATCACTGTTACTGTTATTATCATTATTACTATCATTATGAATATCTTCATTTTATCAGATCATCGTCAGATAGATAGTTAAAGGGAAAGGGAAAGAGAAAGAGAAAGAGAAAGAGAAAGAGAGAGAGTGAGAGGGTGAAGAGAGGGAAGAGAGAAAGAGAAAGAGAGAGAGACAGAGAGAGAGTGTGTGTATGTGTATGTGTATGTGAGAGAGAGAGAGAGAGAGAGAGAGAGAGAGAGAGAGAGAGAGAGAGAGAGAGAGAGAGAGAGAGAGAGAGAGAGAGAGAGAGAGAGAAGAGAGAGAGAGAGAGAGAGAGAGAGAGAGAGAGAGAGAGAGAGAGAGAGAGAGAGAGAGAGAGAGAGAGAGAAGAGAGAAAGAGAGAAAGAGAGAAAGAGAGAAGAGAGAAGAAGAGAGAGAAGAGAAAGAGAGAAAGAGAGAAAGAGAGAAAGAGAGAAAGAGAGAAAGAGAGAGAGAAAGAGAAAGACATAGAAACAGAGATACATGGAAAAAAAAAGAAAAAAAAATTATATATAAATATTAAAAAATCAGACACCGCTAAGCCATAAATTCGCCGTCGCTTCGGGGTTACGACCAAAATACGTGTCAAGTTACGTAATCTGTTCATAAACAGCGGAGAAATAGCGGGGCTTAATCACAGGTGAAGCCAAGGGTTAAGGCGGAGATTTAAGCCGGCGGGACATGGGGACGGTGACCTCGTCTTGGGGGGGGGGGGGGAGGGAGAGAGGGGAGGAAAGAGGGAGAGAGGGGAGGAAAGAGGGAGAGAGAGAGGGAGAGGGAGAGGAGGGAGAGGGAGAGGGAGGGAGAGGGGGAAGGAGGGAAGGAGAGGGAGAGGGAGGGAGAGGGGTGGGAGGGAGGACGGGTGGGAATGAAGAGGGAGGGGGGAGGGAGGGAGGGAGGGACGGGGGTGGGAGGACGGCTGGGAAGGAGGGGAGGGAGGGGGGAAAGGAAGATAAGAAGTAAAATAAGGTGAGAGAGAGAGAGAGAGAGAGAGAGAGAGAGAGAGAGAGAGAGAGAGAGAGAGAGAGAGAGAGAGAGAGAGAGAGAGAGAGAGAGAGAGAGAGAGAGGGTAATCGATGGCGTTACAGTCTGCTATAAAGAAAGTGACAGACAGAGGCATGATGAAAGACAATGAAAGAGGAACCGGTAAAGAATGAGAAACATAGAGACATAGAGACACAGAGAGACAGACACAGAGAGGGAAGGAGAACGGACATACACTCACAGAGAGAAAGAAAGAGACAGATATATACGGACATATAAGGGAACACATACAGACAGACAGACAAATAAGGGGAGAAGACGATACAGACGAACAGACAGGAAGTGGGACATACACAGATAAATAAAGGAAAAAAAGACAAACCAAAAGAGAGTAAAAGACGGGCACACGGAGACAGGATGATACATACTGAAAGACAGACACACACAGACACTGAAAGAAGAATGGATAAGGACAAACACAGACATATAGGTGGAGAGGAAGAGAAAGAAAGACAGACACACAAACAGAGAGAGATATAAAGACACAAAGGAGAAAAAGAGACATACATACAGAGAGAGGTGAAGAAGAAGAAGAAGAAGAAGAAGAGAAAGAAAGAAGGCGAGAAAGAAACAGACATACAAAAGAAAGAGAAAGAGACATACACACACACACACACATAAGAAAGAAAGAGAGACAGACACACACACACACACACACACACACACAGAAGAAAGAAAGAGAGACAGACACACACAGAGAGAAGAAAGAGCGGCCTCCCATCCACACGTGACAAATGACAGTCTCGTTGCGCCGTTCATATCGACGGCAACACAAGTTCATCGTCCTATTTTTAAACCGGCGAGGTAATATTGACCCACTCCAGCATGTGAACTTCATATTGCAGTTTTGACATGGGTGACCTTGCTTGCCCCGTCGACCTAACACGTGAGCCTTGAATCGGCCACTCGCTTTAAACTTTAACCTGGTTGGAGGGATTTTGTTTAAAAAAAAAAAAAAGTTCTTATGGCGTGTAAGTCGTGTGTGCTTTTGATATAGATAGAGATATTTTTGTATT